AGATTTATAGCTCTCCTTGCCTGCACGTTTTATTGCATTTGGGGAAAAGCTGGGCGAGGTTTCCGTGTTACATTGATCAACTTTCTGCCCTTTGCCCCTGTCACCCCCCCCCCCCCCCCCGAGTCACTGAAATATCAACCTGGACCAGGGACACAATTTCTCTCCCAGGAAGGGAATGCATCTTGACAGGTGTTTTCTTTGGGGACAGTTATTTATAGCTACAACCACGATCCTTCTGCTGGGCACTGTTGTCTACTCCCTCCCCGTCCTCAATTCTCAAAAATGGAACATATTTTTGTTTTCCTGGTAGGGGAAAAAGTGGCAAATCAGTGATTTAAATCTCTCTGTTCTTCTGTTGCTGTCTCTCTGTCTCTTTCTCTGCCTTTCTTTCCATATTCTAGCCTCTCCGTCTTCCACTTTCCGGACAGGCTCTGGATCGTGCCCAGGTTCAAATCTACATGTTGCCACCCAATTTTTGTGTCACCCGGGCAGTTTACTGACCTTCTCTGTTCCTTGTTGCCAATGTACAGGGACAATTGCATGAGATATTTCTGTGTCTGTCTTCACCTTCCCTCCCCCAGTCTCACCCCAACTAGACAGGGAAGGCTTGGGGACAGGGAGCTGTGTCAGCTTGCCATCTTCTCTCCTGCCCTCACCTGCTCCTCAGCTCCAGTTCTCCATCTGTCACCCTCCCCCCCCCCAGCTACCCAGGCAGAGCCTTGGTGGCCTCCCTCCCCCACCACATCCAGTCCGTCACCCAGTCCTGTGGATTCCTCTACATGCTTCTCTCTGTCCCCCCCCCTCCTATTTTTGAGTGTCCCCAAAGTGGCAGGCACTGAGCCAGTCTCTGGCCACAGTCCCCTCTCAGGGTCACTACAGCAGAGTCTTTACAGACTCCTGTCTCCAGGCTTGGCGCCCCCTTCCCCCTCTGAGGACTTACTGGAACAGCTAAGGGACAGGGCAGTGGAGCACGTGCCTGCAGTTCGGTTGCTAAGGAAACCACTTCCTTGGTTACCGGCCTGGGTAGCATTTGTCTCCCTGAGTCTGCATCCCGCGGAGTCGCCCCCACTCTCTGGGAAGAGGAGGAGGAGGCAAGAGAGGACAAACAGGGGTGGGGAGGAAGGCGGTAGGGAGTAAGCAAGAGACAGGCAGAGAGACAGAGATGAAGAGATGGAGAGACGCTGGCACAGACAGCAGAAATCAAGAAAGAGAGAAAGATGAATAGGGGGGATGAGGGGGGTGAGGACAAGAGAGAAGAGGTTTAATGAGCAGCTGGAGGAAATAAAAGCAGAAAGAGGAAGATGCAACCTGGGAGGCATATGAAGAAAAATGGGGAAGAACCAAAGCAAGAGAAAAGGGGTCTTGGCTCCTAGGAGATGGGTCCCCTTGGGACGTGCCCCCTGGCAACCCCTCTGCCTCCCCATCCTTCTCCCCCTCCCACACTGCCCACCAGGGACATGTCTGTGGCAGTCTCCCCCGATTACCAGAACAATCCCAGCCTTCAGCAGATGCCCAGCGCGGCCTGTTCCCCTCTAGGGACGACAGCAGGATGAGCCAGGTGTCCCTGCTGCCCGCCAGGTACCATGCCCTGCACCGGGCGACCACTGTTCCCCAGCTTTCCCTCCTCTGCAGATGCACAGGTGCTGTCCCTCTGCATGCGGAGAGACTTTCTGGAGAAGTCCCTGACTGGCCCGGTTCTGCTGTGACCTCGGTGGGGCTTGAGCCAGTTCCGGCTAATCTTGGGCATCGGTGGGCCATGCTCCTGTCTGTTGGGGTTGCTGACAACCTCCCAGGGTCGGCCAGGACCCACCGTGGGCCCCTGCCCTCTGCCCTGCCATCGCATCCTCAGAAGCTTTCTGACCACTTATGGGTATGTACTCAGTACTTGGTAAAAGTATCAGCTGTGCAGAAACAGGGATTTTTGTCTGTTGTGTTCCTCTTTAAGTCTCTAGAAGCTAGAATAGTGCCGAGTACATAGTAGATGCCCAGTATTTGCTGAAGGAATGAGGGGATGCTACCTTGGTTCCTTCTGGGCCTGCAACACAGGTGTGATTTGAGACGGTTGAAGTGCGGTAAAGATGGGCAGAGAAGAGGTTGCTAAACTGTTCATCTTGCTCCCCCCCCACCCCTACCCTCAGCCTAAAGGGCTGGAAAAAATCTCTCCCTTCCTCCCCACCATCATCTGTGATGGGGAGAAGGACGCGGCACAGGATCCGTGAGATCTGAGCGGCAGTGTCTAGGGAGTGTGGTGCTGGATGCGCCCTGGCTTCCCTCGCTTCTGGTCAGGGAGGAAGAGATCATGGAAAAGGTAAAAGAAATTAGTATAGGGCTTTAGGACTCAACTTGAGACCAGAGACAAGGCTCGACCTAAGGTCAGATGAGAGCCCAGAGACCAAGGAAAAGACTCCTCCAGGGCCAGGACTGGAGCTCAGTTTCCAACCAGAATCAGAGCTGTGGCAGATTCAGGCACAGTCCACACACAGGATCAGCATTTGTTTGGGGGCAGGTCTGAGTTTCGCCTACGACCCAGGCTGGAGTGCCATCAGTGACTTGGGTCAAGACTTGGTACATGTGGGGCCGAGGTTCGATGTGGGGATGGAATCGATGTGGGAATCTGTAGGAGACCAGGATCATGGATCAGCAGGTGTTTAGAATCAGGGCTCCACTGTCACCCAGGATCAAGACTCCAGGATTGAGGCTCCATCTGTGACCAGGTCAGACTTGGCTTGAGACTTTGGCAGGGGACTGGTGAGACCTCCTAGATTTCTGAAGCCAACACAAAATCCCAGAGGAGAAAGACCCTGCCTTTGGTCCTGGAGCAGCCTCCTGCTCTTCCCGCTTTCTGAGCTCTTCTTTCGCCCTCCCTACTTCAGAGAACCCAGGACTGGGGTGCGGGGGGTGGGGAGGTGTCCTCACCCACCCATCCTGAGCAATCCCCCAGGATGGGGAGAAGTCTCTCCCTCCCCTTCCTCTGCCTGTCTGCACTTGGCTTATCCTCTTCCTCCCCCTCCATACTCCACAAGGCAGTATGGAAACGCTGGTCCCTCCCGGGAGACAAAGAAGCCTTCTCTTCTCCCTCGTGCGCTTACTGGCTTCCCTTCTGCACAAATGCACAGCGCCCCACACCCAGGGATGTCCCTTGCACACGCACACAGAAGGGAACCCCCTCCATACAAGCACACACCCACACAGGGGCGTTTACACCACACCCCCGCACAGACGCACACTTGCCAAGGACAAGGCATAGGCAGGAGACACCCCTCCACAACAGGCGCCTTCCTCGAGCCCTTTCCTCCTCTTTCACACACACAGGCACGTTGTACTTCCCAGACACAAACACAACTACCTCCCCCCAGAGCAATTCTCTTACACTCACACAACGCTCTACCATGTGCTAGAATAAACAAAGTCTCTTTTTAATGACGGTGTTGACCTGAGGAATCTTCAGACAGAGGCCTGTGGCCTGAGGTGACCACTAACAGAACTGGCCCAGGTGGTGGACCTGGAGTCTCCGGGGGACAGACCTCGAAGTAGGAGGGGAGGCCACGCCCTGTACTGCTTCTCAAAAGACTAGAAATTAGCCTGGGGGGAAAGAAACATGGTACAAAATACATTCAGCAGCCCCTGGCTGGGCCCTGGGGGTGGCCTAAATCCCACAGCTGAGGGGATCAGGGAAGAGAGCCACAGGCGCAGGCCCTAAGCCCTTCCCTCTGCGTGGCCAGGCGCCAAAGGGCAGAATGTACTAGTTATATTCCTCTTAAAAAAATATATCTCTTTACACTCGCCTTCTCCGTAGTCTCTTGGGTATTTGGAAACGAGCATTTACCTGCACCCAAGCCTACTGGGGGGCTGCTCCAGACAGAATAGCAAAGATCTGTGACCTATGGCTTTTGCATCTACATGGTGGCAAAGGTGCAGGTGTGGGCCGGATGCGAAGCCACTGGTATCCAAGGTGGGGGTGGGGTGGGCAAAGATGTGATCCCCAATCAGTGCTTTCTAAGACAGAGGATTAGCGACCAAGGTCCTTGAGAATCCTTTGGTTTGAGGTCTTACCACCAAGGGAGCAGGTTTTGTGTGGAAATGGAATAACCATTCTCTTCCTTAAAGAACCATCCCAAGGGAAGCTGGCCCCACTGGACTATGACCAAGGGAATGGTCCAGGAAGGTAGTGGGGGTCTCTTTTGGTCATGGTCCAACCTGATGTGGAGCACCCCTTCTCTCTCACCCGGACAGCAAAGGACCCATTGGTAGGGGTCAGAGGGCAGTGTAAGATCAATGCATCGGGCCCCACCATGGAGAGAGGTCACTGGGGCTGTCAATCTTAGGATTTGGCATGTGGCTGGCCATCCTGGAGTTAACCATTGGCGCTTGAGGAACCCCTGGAAGTGGGATCGAAGATGCCAAGGTCCCCTCATGGCTGCAGCGGGGGAAGAAGAGCACAGAATTCTGGCCCTCGAGGTGGTCAGGCAACCAGATGGTTTCTCAGGAGCAGTGTGACCCATGGTGGTGCCAGTCAGCACACTGGGAGCACCAGTGCCTCCGCACCCCACCCAGAACGTCAGAAGCCTTTCTTCAGACAGAAGTGTCCTGAGTCCACGTTGGTGCCAGTGCCTCCCCAGGGCAGAGGAGAGAAGGGCAGGCTGTGGACGCTCAGCCCAGGAGGGGACACAGTCGGGGTCCATTTCCTTCTGCAACAGTCCCCCTAGCTCTCGAATCAAGATCCTCGACCCCAGCAGTGGGGCTGCCTGGTCTTGGGGATGCCATGAGCCCTCCCTCCCACAGGGCGGGGGTGGGTAGGGACACGGGAGACAGAGAAGGGTCCATGTGGTTGCAACACCCCAAAGCAAAGGCCCCCTCCATCTCCAAGGGGGGCCGTGAGTGGGGTGGGGAGGGCCCAGGCAGGCAGTCTCTCCCTGGAGCTTCCTCTGTCATGCAGGAAACTCACTGAAGGCCCACAGCAGCTGGGGGACTGTCCTCAAAGTGGAGAGGACAGAGGGGTGGGGGTCCCCGGCCCCTCCCCCCCGCCCCCCCCCCCCCGACGCATCATCTGGGGTAGTAGTCATCAGGGACGCCCGTCAGGTTCCTCCCCTTGAGGGCCGCGTCCACCACCTTGATGTAGGCAGAGATGACCTTCTGCATGTCGGCCGTGTAGGGGTCGTACTCGAGCTTGCGGAGGCCGGAGCGCTTGAAGTTGCCGTCCTTCTGGCTCTCCACGCACAGCAGCCGGTCCTCCCTGACGGCCACGCCCAGCAGGCTGACCATGCGGCCCAGCTGCACAAACAGGTCCTGCTTCAGGTCTTCAAAGTGAACCACCAGCACCTTCTTACCAAACCTGAGCCAGTCCAGCGTGTGCGTGGCCCACCACGGGGCGTAGTTCCTCACAAACTCAGGCCACTCTGCAGAGAAGAGGCAGGGCCCAGTCAGAGAGGGGAGGCACTCAAGGGACCAGGGTCAGATGGTGGTGGGCACACAGAAGTCAGTGACTGGCAACAGCCTTCACTCCTTCGAGGCCCTGGCGGCCCTGGCCTGGCCCGATTCCTCCCCACCTCCTGGCTGCTGCTTCTATCTGGAACATTCTGAGCCTTGCCTTCTCTTCAGGGAGAACAGTTAACACTTGTCGGGTGCTTACTGCATGCATGTCCCAGACTTCTCCAAAAATGCATATTACTGTATTTTATATACATTTATATTAACCAAGTAATAATACTAACCTAGTAAGTCACTTCTCATGACCGGTATCATCATTTTCTTCACTTAACAGAAAAAGTGAGGCACAGAGAGGTCAAGTAATTTGCTCCAGGTCACACAGCTACTCAGGGGCAGAGCCAGGATTAGAAATTGAGCAGTCTGGCTTCAGACTATCAAGCTACTCTGTGCAGTAATAGTTATCCTGCTTGGTAATGGGATCTATGCACAGGATGGTAATAGGACATTTGTATAGAGAAGTGGATAAAAGCACAGGAGGTTTGGGTGGGGGGACGGGGTAACTGAGCGATGGGCATTAAATGCACGTACCTGATGTAAGTCATATGCAACTGATGACTCATTAAATTCTACCCTGAAACGAATAATATACTGTGCTAACTTGAATTTAAATTTAAAAAATAGTGACTTGCCCAGGAACAAACAAAATCCTAGAAGGGTTTTAGCATGGCACCCCGTACCCAGTAGGGGCTCAGCAAACGTTGCCAATTGTTATTCCTGCCATTACTCTGTTCTGAGACAGGACATCGTTTTCCCAGACTCAGGCAGGAGGCCAATCTTTGGGCTTCAGCGTTCCCCCTCTAAGCCCCCTCATGTCTGTTGAAGGTCTCTCCAGTAGACTGGGCTGGGGGTACAGTTTAAGTTAGATTATCTAGACTGTCATCTTTGCCTTACTGTTCTACTTTTTATCATGTGTATTTATATTTTTGCAGTTTATTACCTTACCATGGTAAACTGGCAGGGGAATCATCACCAACATTGAGAAGGTGTGTTGGGATGCTCTGACTTGAAAGGCAGGCTACAAAAGAATGTGGGTGATTGCTTAGGGGACCCCAGAGAGAACCTCAAAGAGACACCAGCCAGCCCTGGAGCTGCTGAAATGGACAGAACGGGGAGCTGGGGAGCTGCAGTGGATGGGGAGGTGGGGTGATCACTGATGACGACGGGAAGGGAGAAAGGGATTCTGAGCCCCTGCTGGACAGTCACAGGGCAGGTGTTCTGAAATCCTGAAGCCAGACCCACTGCTTCTCACAGAAGCAACCCCACCCTGCACCGTCCAGAGGGATGTGCTTATTGAAGGAGGGTCTGTGAGTCTCCCAAGCCGGGTTAGGGGGTCCCAGCTGGTTAATAACCAAATCCTCCTCCTTTGCTGGTGATGGGTACCCAAGATCTCTAATTCTAAAGACTACCCTGAAAGGAAAGGGCTGCTGTTGACCCTATATCACCAGTGAGGAAATGGGAGGCTCAGAGAGGTAAGGTGACTGGCCCAAGGTCACACAGCCAGGCAGCAGCATCCAGATCAGACCTGATTCCAGGTCCTGATCTTTTCCTGGCAGCAGCAGCCTCACCCCCCTACATCCCACTGTCTTACCCCCAGCAGGGGCTCAATAAATGGTGGTTGAACTAAATTGGAATCCCCCACCGCCAAACTGTGACATGATAAAGGGCTCCTCTTTCTTTGCAGAACACATCAGACCCCATGGTGAGGCTCCTGCTTCCCTGTGCGCCCCCAGACCACCACTGCTCCTTGGGAAACATTGATGTGGGTGACAAGGAGATCCTTCATGCTTACGGTAGATGATTTACAATGGTATCTGGCTAATTGGGCCCACACTGTTGTAATGGGTTAAGACCAGATGTATCTGAGTGATTGGAACATATAGCATGTATATGTTCTGTTGTAATTTTTTTTTTCAGAATCTCTGTGTCACCTCAACGCATTCCTGATGGCTCAGGACACCTGTTGCCTTTCTAGCAGAAGCCCAGGCGGATGAAGGTGGTACTGAGTCGCCTGGTAGCACACGGATTGTATTTTTAAGCTTGGCCATTTCTGACCAACCTCAGATATTTGCTGGAGGGGTGAGGGTTGCAGCTTGGAGGTCATAATGGAAGAGGAAGAACCCGTCTGCGTGGCAGTCAGGGTCCTACAGAGGGTAGCCCTAGCCTTGGGTGCAGATGGGCTGCAGAGGGCACAGCCCCCTTGCTGACTGCACACTGCCCTGGGATGGGAGTGTACGGTGCCTGAGTCACTTCACATTTTCTGCTCCCAAGCAGGAACTGTGCTCCCAAGAAGCTTGGAGAGTGGGGATTACCAGCCATTTTACACACAGGGCGGGGGGTATGGATAAAGGAGGCTGGGAGACCTGAAGCCAGTTGTTCCAGGCCACACTGTGCTTGCCCAAGACAGGATTCCAACCCAGTTTATCCAGACTGAGCCTGGCTCCTGCCTCCTGGCAAGCCCTTCCAGAGCTCCTGTTCCGATCAGCTCCAGCTCCTAGTTGAGCACTGCTCGCTTTGGGTGTTAGTCTACAACTCAGGATCTGTTCATGGCTGACTTTGGGTCCTACAGAGGGTAGGTACAGACTGTCCGCATTCACAACCCCCTTCCTGTCTCCATTAGCTGTGGCAGCTTGGGAACTCCAGTCTGTCTCGAGACTCAGTTTATCCACTGGCAAAATGTACTAAGACCTACATCCTGGCCATGCAGATAGAATGGAAGCAGAGGGGCAAGGACTGTGGCAGGCGGCCCCTGGGACCCAGGTGGTGCTCACTAAATGCCAGCTGCTGTCACGAGGATTCCTGATGGTGGCACCCTGGTGTCACAAAGATGCCCACCCCCACCAAACCCAGCCCTACCCCATTATCACTGGGATCAGAGCTCCCCAGGCTGCTTTGGCAGCAGCTGTTCACCTACCCCACCGATCCCTCCCTGGAAGCTCCTGAACTTCGCGGAAAAGAAGGAGGAAAAAAAAAAAAAAAAGAAACCCTCAGAAGTCCTGATTAGCACAGGATTCCTGGTCACTGATCGCTGCCTTCAAACTGGGTCATAAAGAAGCCAAGCCACAGACCACAGAGCACGAGCACCGGTTCCACCGGAAGGGTCACACAGGTGCGCCCCGCAGGGCACCCCCCAGTCTTCATGCTCCCTCTTCTTGTCCAGAGGAACCAGGGCCTGATTAATAGCTTAACTGCGCTTAATTCCCCACAGAATCATTAAACACCGTCTGTTTCATTAAACAGATCCAGGACAATTCACCTTGTGTAATCAGATCACATAAAACTTTGCTTTGGCCCCACTCCAGGGAGATTGTAAAATTAACGTTAAAGAACCAAAAAGGGGGGGGGGAGGATTACAAGAGCAGTGCCCCAGCTCTAAATGGAAAGAGGGCACAGGTGGGGGTGGGGGGGTGGAGGCACTCAACTGCTAGGGGAACTCTTTTTAGGGGGTGACCTTCACACACTAAGGCAAAGCGCACATGAGGCTTCACTTCTCTGAGAATCTTGTTCAAATGCAGATTCCTGTTCAGAGAGCCCGAGGGCAGAGATGTGCTTTTCTAAAAAATCTTCCAGCTGATGTGGAAGCCACTGCTACACAGGCCCTGCTCTGTGAGCGGTGCAAGCAGCAGGGGTTGAAAGCAGTGGTTCTTAAACTGGAGCATGCGTCAGAAACATCTGGAGGGATTGGTAAAACGCAGATGGCCCGGCCGCCCTCCCAGAGTTTCTGCAGGGTCTGGGGTACGGCCAGAGGATTTGCATTTCTAACCAGTTCCCAAGTGATACTGCTGTGGCCGTGGCTGGTGCGGGCAATCTAAAGCAAGGGGCTCAAACTCCAGTGTCTACAAGGCAAACAGAGAAATGGATTTTTTTGGGGAAGGCTCCCAGGATCCTTCAGACCTGGGTCAGGCCTGGGAGGGGATGCAGGGAGAAGGCTCCCCATCCCAGACTACTGTGGGGCCCCCGGGGCCCCTGCTAGGAGATGCGGGTGCTGGAACCTCCTCTCTCCCGTCCCTTGCAGCCTCATGGTACAGCCTGTCCCAACACCTTCCTGATCTTTGATTTTAAAGCTCCCAGCTGCCTTGAGTAAGGAAAAAGAGGCAAGGTAGCTCCTGGGAATTAGAACTACCTGAACCTGAGACCAGATGCTAAGCCAGGAGAGAAGCTGTGAATTCATCACAAAGTCAGGGACATCCCCAAGCTAAGAGACAGCCTGGTAGCTAATGCCTGGGTTCAATCCCAGTTGGGTGAAGCCTGGCGGAGGGTGGGGGCAGGGGGGCAGCTTAGCCACATAATTGCTCCCTTCCTGGGATGGTTTTCTCACCTGTGCAATGGAATGCCACCAGGACTGGCACCCTTTCTCATCTCCCCAGGGACTTAGAAGGTTTAAATGTCCTCATGAATGCACAGAGCTAGGAGCTTCCCAAGTGATTTCCCTTCCCTTTTCTCCGGGGGCAGCAGGAGGCCTGGGAGGCAGAGAGCCCGATTCTACTCCTGCCACCATGTGCCCAAATGACCTGGGAAGGTTCCCTGCCTCTCTCTGGGCCTGAGTTTCCCCATTAATCCATAGAGGATTAATCAGTGGTTCTTGGTCCTACCTGCACCCTAGAAGCAGTGAGGAGCTTTAGAAAAATACCGATGCCCAGGTTCCACTGCACCAATGGTCCTGGTCCGGTGGGATTTCCCCACGCCCCTCTGGGGATGCTGATACGTAGTTGGGACTGAGGACCACTGCAGTTGGTCACCCCCAGGTCCTTTCCAACTGGGCCAGAGAAGTCTCTGCTCTGGGCAGGCCTCTGCCACATGCACCTGTAGACTTCTCAGCCTGGCCCTGAGCAGTGGTCATTTTCAACTACAAATCTTCTGGGAATAAATGTCACCACCTAAGCTTCTACCCTCTGAGAGGGGAGTAAAGCAAGGGGAGAAACAGAGGACCCCCTTGACTGAACTAGGAGCCCAGGGCACAGCTGGCCAAAGAGGCACAAGGGTTGTGATGAATGAGGTCATTAAGTACTGGACTGCTGCATTAACACCATGCTGTCAAGCTCCAGACCTCTCTGGGGTGGGGCCAGGGCTTCAAAGCAGTTTTAGGAGGGGTAAAGTGGAAAGCACCCCTCAAGGCTGAGCCTGAAGCAGCCTGGCTCCCAGAGGCTAAGGTGAAGAGAGCTCACACGTACAGAGCACTTACGGGACTGGGTGATCTTACTGATCCATCAACATTTTGTCCGATTTGTTATCATAGGGCTGTGGTTAAGGGCAGGAGCAAGACTGTCTGGGGACAAACCCCAGGTCCACCACCTCCTTTTGGAAAAGCCTCTTCACCTCCCTGAATCTAGCTTGTCCCATCTATAAAACAAGGTTCATTATGGGGTTTAAAGACTCTCATTACAGTGGTGGAGATGTGGATAATAGATATGGGGTTCTGAGAGCCAGAGGGGTCAAAGATACTCAAGCTGATAGAAGTTGGGTCTGACTCCAGAGCTCTCACCATTATCATGGGCCACCGCTCTGGAGTGAGACATTCATCCCCAAGGCTGTCATCTACTAAGTGCTGGAAATGAGTCTCAAACCCCAATCGTATAAGATTCGCTGCTTAAAAAAAAAAAATGCAGCTTGTTAGCCAACACTGTCACTTCCCAGGTGTGGAACCTAGCACAAGTCACTGAACCAGAGTTGTTAGGGATGGTGCATGGAAATGATGCTCTGCGAGTTCTTAGGAGCTCCTGAGTGACCTGGCCATCAGCCCCTGACTGTGGGTTGGATTCAGGTCTCCTGATTCTCAGGAGAGGGCTCTAGAAACTGTTTCCATTCATCCCATATCAATTATGTGAGGGTCTCCATCTCCATAAGGAGTCACATTTACTGGATTTGTTTGTAAAGGGTTAAAAATTCTCAGAGCCCCATAATTATTGCTCCCGTTTTATAGATGGGACAAGCCTAAGTTCAGGAAGGTAGTGGTGGGGCTGGGGTTTGAACCCAGGGAGTCTTGCCCTTGAGCCCGTGCCCTGGATGGCTGCGCTATGGCATCACCCAGGCTCCCAGCAGGTGCAGCTTGTGGGGTGGCGTGCCACGGCAGGGGGCCCTTCTGGATCCCTGGCAGCAGACAGCACTGGCTGCTCCCCCACCTCCCCTGCACCCGGGCCCGCCCCTCCCCCTACCTTTGCCCTTCCAGTGGGCATGCGCCGCAAAGCCCACGTGGCCGCCGTACTTGCGGTTGAACTCTGCCATGAGTGCCTTGTAGGGGTTACGGATGAGTAGGATGGCCGCATCGAAGGCCTCAATCTCCTTCTGGCCGCTCTCGTGCGTCTTGATGCAGATGGTCCTGCCGCTGCGCCAGTGGTCCCGCTCGCCTTTGAAGCCTTCCCAAAGTGGGGGGGGGAGGGGTACGGGACGTCAGCGCAAGGAGGTCCGGAGTCCAGGGCACTTCCCTGGGCCACCCAGGAATCCTCCCACGTTCATGCATTTCCCCCCAGATGTGCGGAGCACCTACTGTGTGCCAGGCACTGTGCTGAGAGGTGGCGATAAAAATCTGCAAGAATATCCATGGCTCTTGCTGTCTTTGGGAGCCAGATTATGCAGATCATGACATAAATGAACATAACAAACCCCTAGTGCTGCAGAAGAGGCATAGATTTCTTGCTCAGGTGCCCCAAGAGGCACCTGACAGTGATGCACTGGAAGAGTCCTCTTTGCACGGAGTCTACACCCCTGGGCATGGCTGCATGACTCACTTTGGCCAGTGGAATGAGGACAGAAGCAGGTCTCTATTAAAGACCCAAGGTGCATCATGTTTGTTCTTGTGTGCGCCTGCCATCACTGTGAGAAGGACATGCGCTAGAAGGCTGTTGGTCCCAGATGGTGACTTGTGGAACAGACATTGATGCCACAGGCAGGCTGGTGCTGAGCAGCCCAGCCAGCCAAGCCAAGATCACTGATCTGCTCAGCGTCATCCAGAAAGGTTTCCTGGAGGAAGAGGTGCTTAAGCTGACTTGTGAAGGATGAGGAATTTGCTAGTCCCAGAGAGGAAGGAAAGGGTGCTGGGAACAACAGATGCAAAGGTCCTGGGGTGGGTCAGAAGAAATATGTTATGTGTGTGACAGCTGAGAGCAGAAAGAAGGGAGTGTAAAGCTGGATCAGATTTTAGCAGTTGTGATGGAGTGTTCAGACCACAAAGATTAGGCAGCCCTGAAAAGGATTTAAGCAAAAGAAAGCGGGACATGATCGGATTTTCATTTCAACAGCTGAGGAACTGAGAGAAATTGTGGGTGGCCGCAGAATGTTTCTCTGGTGCCAGTTGTGTGCTGGACACTGGCCTGAGCCTTTTATGTAATTAGGCAACTCCACGCTTTCAGTGATCCTCAGAGATTTTATGGATAAGGAAACTGAGGCACAGATCAAAGATTTTGCCCAAGTTACAGAGTGAGTGAGAGGCAGAGCCAAAATTCAAACCAAGCTACCCAGGCTCCTGAGACTGAGTTCTTGAGCTTCTCGCTCTCACAGGAGCTAAGGCACTTGGATGGCATCTTGAAAGCCAAGTAGAAATGTTCTGGGACTGGGCCTTCAAGATACTGGCTGTGTTTCAACTCACTGTTATTTCTTTGGGTCTCAGTTTCCTCCTCTATAAAATGGGACCATGCTGCTTTTACTTCACAGGGCTGTTTGAAAAGTCAGTGAGGCACCTAGGAGGACTTAGATCAATGGCTGCTCAACCAGAACAAGTCTTGGGGTGACATTGTGGACCAAGAAGCCAACGTGCTCACTTTTTCTCGCCTTACCCCTGCACAAAGGTTTCTGAGGCTCTACACTTTGGCTTTTAAGGTGGATTAAAATGAGGCCAATATGGTACCTACTCCTGTCCCTGGAGATCAGGTTTCAGACAGGTATAGCACCCCCCACACCCACCCCACCAGGGTCACAAGGTAGAAGAGCCAGGAATGGACTGTCATTTCCAGAGCCAGATTCCATCCTGGCACTTGCCAAGTGAAGCTGCAGGAACCAGTCTAGCCCCGGCCCATGCCCACAAGGAAATATTAACCCACTGCCTTTGAGGCCCATGGACCATGCAGTGTCATGCGACAATGAGGGATGGGGTCTGGAAGCTTGAGAACAAGCCTGGGACACAGATGTTTACCCACAAGGTGGCACTGGATACGATTTCATGGCATGCAATCATGCATTCCATCGGCAAAGCTCCTCATGACGCAGACAAGGAACTTCCCATCTAGGATTGTGTTTTATCTTTGTCAAAATGCATTTCGCCACGAGCATAGCAACAGAAAAACACATGTGGGGGTTACAAAGAATGCATACAGGTTCTCAGAGAAGAAAAATAAACAGAAACAGAAACCTGGCAGAGTGGTCAAACTAGTCTAAGTCAGCTCTCAGGTCACATTTCTCTCTGTTACGTGATGGAGTCAGCCTAGCACGGTGTTTATCAAGATACAAAAACAATGCACATAAGAAAAGACCTGCTCTAGATTCCAGATTTGGGTCACCTAAGAAGTTAGTTTGTAGGGTCTGCTGGAGAAGTAGGGAGGTGGAGAAGATTTAGAACAATGCCTCCCAGGGAGAGGAGTTCTATGTCTAGGAAGAAGCCTTTAAGCCACCTGGGATCCACCTGCCTGTGGAACTGGGAATGGTGGCTGGAAGATCCTCCAGGGAGGGCCATCTAGGTGATTACACAGCCATCAGGGATGCAAGCACAGGGCCAGAGCGGAATTGCTGGCTTCCACTGCCAGGGGGCCCCCCTCCCCTCCTCCTGAAACCAGGACCCAGCTCCTCCATTGCATCAAGGGGGAGAATTTAAATCCCATTACTTTGAGGGATCATCACACTAGCAGTTTATCTGGGGCACCCATGTGAGCTTCAGAAACTCTCAGGAGCTGGACAACAGTCCCAGGCTTTGGAGAAACGAACTTGTGGATTCAGGGCCACAAGAGGAATAAGATATACATTCTCCTTCCCCCTCATCCTCCATATGACAGTTGTCAGTGCACTTTGCAGCTAAGGAAGCCAGCATGGAAAAGGGCAGGGGCAAAAACCCCACATTTCTGCATGCCCTGGTGTCTACTGGGCAGGAACGGCCTGCTCCTGGTTCTGCACATGGACACTCTGCAGGCTGGTGGTCCTCCAGGGGTAATGGGGTTGATTTGGGGGCCGTCCTCAGAAATCCTTGTCCTGTATCAGTGGGGCCGAGAGGCTGCCTCATCAATGTCCTGGGGCATCCAGGGCCCCCAGGAGCCTAGCAGGGCTTTGGTCAACTCCAGGAAGTCAACCCAGCCCCTCCTGCCACAGAGCTGGAGCCTGCACTCGGGGCAGTGGGGTCCCTGAGATGGGGAGGGGGACAGGGTGAGAGAAGAAGGGGATCCCGAGAGAAGTAGACACAGAAACAAAATAAGGAGAAAAAGACCAGAGGCACAAGGAAGGAAAAAGCAGGAGACGAGCCAGCAAGACCAAGAAAGAGACAGACAGATAGATGGACAAAGACCCAAGTCACGTTTTACAAAGGGCCATCGTCTCTGGGTAAGCGGCAGGCAGAGCTCAAGTGGTACAGACGCTTGGCCTGCGGGAAGGGAGAAGCCACCCATCCAGACATGCCCTCTCCTTCCCCCCTCCCTCCCTCCCTTAGCAGTCCCTTGGAGGGGCAGCCTGCTCAGGTGCAAGGAGAGAAGGTTGCAGAGGAAGTGCCAGGCAGTCCATCAGACCTAGGAGGGCCCTGGGGGTCACCCACCCAACACCAGCTTGTTACAGAGGAGGAAATCCTTTCAAGCTGGGGGTGGGGTGGGGGAGGATGCACCCCCACTTATCCAGCTAGTTAGTGGCAGGGATGAGGGAAGAAACCCTAAAATACTCCAAGCAGCAGGAGTACCTGGAGCATGGGCTCATCCTACAGAAACCACCCTCTCTGGGCCATCATTGAGGCCCCTCACCTCCAGTCAGCGGGCTCTTGATGTCGTTGTCCCCCCGCCCCCGTCCCCTACTCCCCACCCCTGTCCCTGCAGCTGAAATCCATCTGAAGTTCTGCGGCCAGAGGAGTATTTCCCTGCCTGGCCCATGGCCTCAGGATAATGGGGTTCAGGGCCTTTGCCTACCCAGCTCAGGCTGCTCCTTCCTGCATCACTGCCACAGCCCTCACCCCTCCCACGGTCCAACACGCTGCCACCAAACCCTGTTGTTGACCAACTGCTCTGTTTCCTCCTGCTGCTCGTCACATCTCCGCCTCTGCCTGGGGCTCCCTCCACGCCCTTCGGGTGAGTCCTGTCCACTTTTGCACACCCCTGCCCCAAACCAAATCACAGAATATATAAAGTACCCACCCCGTTGCATCCCTGGACTCATGATCCCATTGCAGACATTCAATAAGACACCCACGATGCTTAGCATTGCTAACTGTGACAACGATATATTTATAACAAGGGCCATGACGCAGGAATGCCCTGGGTACAAGGAAGACAAAGCAGGAGGACACGTGATTCTGCCAGGGACGCAGCGGAGGGGGTGTGGCCCGCGGCCTGGGGAGCAGGTTTCCAGGCAGATGGGATGGGATAGGGGAGGATCCTGACCTCCCAGGGAGATGAAACCCATGGGCACAGGGCTAGCCTGTTCTCGAACCCAGGACCCAGCAGGGTTTGGGAACTTCCTGTAGTGTCTCTCGGCTGCAGAGGTGATGTTGGGAGCAATTCGAGGTTAGCAGAGCTGACTAATGCTATGGCAGGGGGGTCACCCACGTGTCTGCACCACACTGCCAGGCCCTAACTCCCAGGGCCAACCCACCATTGCTCCGCTGGGGCTCAGCACACAGGAAGCAGGTTTTTAAGCCCCTCATGAAGGTGGAGCCACTCCAAAGGCTTCCACTGCCTGTGACAGGCCACAATCTGCTCCCTTTCTCAGATGCACTGAAGGAAACCTTTCTACAGTGTGAGCCAGAGGAACTGCCACGGACAGTTGATATTCTCTCTCTCTTTTCCTTTTTAAAATTCTAGTATATGCCTCACCCCATTAATGATCAACTCTTGATATCCACCCCCACAAGACTCGAGTCAAAATATATCTAGCAGGGACACCTGGGTGGCTCAGGGGTTAACTGTCTGCCTTCGGCTCAGGTCATGATCCTGGAGTCACCGGATCGAGTCCCACATGAGGCTCCCTGCATGGAGCCTGCTTCTCCCTCTGCCTGTGTCTCTGCCTCTCTCTGTGTGTGTCTCTCATGAATAAATAAATTTTTTTATAAAAATACATCTCATAGTCTCTGAATGTGGTGGGGCTGGAGGTGAGAATACGGACTTCCTAGTCAAGGGAACCCAGTAGTCTCTGGAATACTGGGAATCTGCCCTGGAATCACCTGAGGAGGTTTATTTATTTTTTTTAAAATTTTTTTAAATTTCTTTATTTATTTATGACAGTCACACAGGGAGAGAGAGAGAGAGAGGCAGAGACATAGGCAGAGGGAGAAGCAGGCTCCATGCACCGGGAGCCCGACGTGGGATTCGATCCCGGGTCTCCAGGATCGCGCCCTGGGCCAAAGGCAGGCGCCAAACCGCTGCGCCACCCAGGGATCCCCGACCTGGGGAGGTTTAAAAAAAAAAAAAAAAAAGGATGTCACAGCTCCCTCCCAGGATCGTGATGGAAATGGTTGCAGGTGCAACCTGGGCATCAAGACTTTAAAAGTTCCCCAGGTAGAATGCCTGGGTGGCTTAGTGGTTGAGCTCTGCCTTCAGCTCATGGCGTGATGCTGGGGCCCTGGGATTAAGTCCTGGATTGGGCTCCCCAGAGGGAGTGGGCTTCTCCCTTTGCCTATGTCTCTGCCTCTCTCCATGGGTCTTTCATGAGCAAACAAAATCTTAAAAAAAAAAAAAAAAAAAAAAAAAAAAAAAGCTCCGCAGGTAATTCTACTGTGTAGTCAAAGACCAACCCCCCGCCTTTGACTTTGCCTAATAGCTGATTGTCCCCCTTTCAGATCATTAAAAATAATGTATATTTTAACACTATAGCCTCATACACATGGTCTTATTATATATTTTCAAAGCTGCCATTGAGTTCAGTATTGACATCTCTGTACTATAAATGAGGAAACGGAAACTCAGAGGAATAAATCTTGCCCAAGGTCCCATACCTGATAAGCAAACAGGTCAGTCTAAAGATTCAATCCCCTGACTTCACCTTTTGTTTTTTCTTTTTAAAGATTTTATTTATTTATTCATGAGAGACACACGGAGACAGGCAGGGACACAGGCAGTGGGAGAAGCAGGCTCCCTGCAGAGAACCTGATGTGGGACTGGATCCCCTGACCCCAGGGATCATGCCCTGAGCCAAAGGCAGACAGACGCTCAACCGCTGAGCCACCCAGGTGTCCCCCCGACTCCATCTTAAGATTCAGTTTCCCTCTGTTTGAAGTTAGGAGGTTGAGTTAGAGCAGAAGTGGTAAATATCTGGCACATAGCTCACCATTCCCCCTTTATACCCTCAACCAGGCATCACTACTAGATTAAGGCACTTTGTTTCTGAAAGACAAGAGAACCTCAGAATCCTCCTTAAGACCTCATCCTAAAACAGGAATTCACTGGAACAGACACATGAGATGAAACCACTTTGCATCCCTGGACTAACAATCCTGAGGATCCCTGTATTTGTAAATTCTAGAATTCCCTAAATAGGGTTGCTGCCCCAGCCCCAGGAAGGTTAGGATGTGGGCCAGCCATGGAATGCTTCCCGAGTCTGCTTTTCCCTGCCACTCTCCAGGACAAGCCAGAGAGATTCCAGACCGTGCCTGGGCTTCTCCAGGAACGCCCATAAAGGCTGCACAACACAATGGTTAAGCGCGCAGATACCATCGACAGCCAGGCCTGGGTTCAAATCCTGGTAGAAAAGCATGCAAAACCCCCAGCTGGGAGCCTTGTGCATATTTTGCGCTTGATAAATGATCGCTTAAACCAAAACTAAAAATTAAACAATATATAGAAGTTGTAATTCTTGCTAACTCCGTCCTCCAACCTGTCCCTCTTCATCCTTTTTGACCTTCCTCCCTCCCACTTCTTACCCTCAGATAGATACCCCCTGGCTCTCCCTGAGCTGGGATTCAGGGATGGCTCTCTGTCAACACCACGCTGTGCCTGGCCAGTGCCTGGCCCCCGGACCATAGTATTCACAGCCTACATTTATTGCACACTTATTCTATGCTAAGCGTATTACACGTCACAACTCGTTAACTTTCACAATGACCCCACAAAGTACATACTGTGATCTCTGATTCGTGCATGATGACACAGGATCAGAGAGCAGCAGACACTTGTTCAATGTCACACAGCCAGGAAGGGGTCTTCATCTGGTTGGCAGACACGAAGACCCACAGCCACGGGCTCCCCACATATGGACAAAACCTCTCCCAAACAGAGCTGCTTCCCTGATAACCCCCACCATGCCTGGGAGGGGGCTTCACACCCAATGGGGATTTCACCCATGATTTTCAGCTCCCCAGTAAGAGCCCCCTGGACTTTTTTGCCAAAGATGGAAGTCAGAACGCAGGCTTTGAAACTGGGACACACTAGGGTGTAAACCCTCAACAGCCCTTTGAAAACAATCTGTGTGACCTGGAGTAATTTACTTCTCTCCAAGCCTCAGTGTTTGCATCTGGGAAATGGTACCACATCCTATGTCCCAGGTCTATTGTGCAGGGCTAAATAAAAATGTAGCACCTAGCAGGAGGCCAAGAAGTTTGTCCGTGGCCATCTGAACCTACATGAAGTGCCTGGCACACAGTCAGCACTGCATAAATGCCTGCTGGGAAACCAAGCTTGGAAGTACATCCAGAGCATAGCAGTGCTCAGTAAACATCTATGAATAAGATGAAAATAAAGCACCCACACAACAGATATCATTGTCTTCAGGGCAGCTAAGACACCTGATGCATAGAAGGTGCTCAATAAATGTCCCCCAAATGAACCTAGTTTTGTCCCTCTGTATATGGCATAGACTTGCTGGAGAGGGCCTACGCACATAGTAGGCACTAGGTAAGTGTCCATTACTGAACAGATGCCGCTCAGGCAAGGTTTGTGGGGTATAAGCGAGGGCAGGGTATCAAGCACACAGTAGGTCTTCACAAACGTGCCCTGGTGAGCTGAGAGGCACATACTAGGTACTCAGGAAGGGTATTCCCATGCCCTCCCCCAGGGGGTCCTCTCCACTCCCCTCCGCCTCCTCACCTTTGTTGTAGAGAGAACCATCAAAGTAGTAGCTGCCAGTATAGAAGCCCGTGGCCAGCTCGATGAGATGGCGAGCCCACGTGTTGCCTGCGCCTGGGAAGCTGGCCAGCGCGATGAGCTGCTTGGACTTGGCTGGGAGGAACCGTCTGTCCATGCAGCGGTTGTCTGCAAAAGGCAGGACGCAGTCAGGGGCGAGGGTGGACAGAGACCCACCCCCACCACTTTCCAACCATGCAGCCCAGGGCCTGTGATGGAAGTCCTTCTGGGCCCACATCCCCGTCACAGGGGTTGACATGAAGGTTATATGAGATCACAGATGAGAAGGGATGGTCACACAGTAGGGATTCTGTGAACGTCAGCTAGGAGGAAGAGTCTTCTCTCCGCCTCAGTTTCTTCCTGGCATAGAGAATCACTCGCTCATCTTACCACCCCACACCCACCTTCCTTGCCTCTATCCATTTTCCTATCTTTACTCCTTTAGCTCCTTAAATTTCAACACTCTAACACAACAGATCTGGCAACGTACTTATCAATTACATCTTTTGAATGTGAACTTCTCATGGCAGGGCTTTTTGTCTTTTGTGCGCTCATTGTCGATGTGCATTTCCCATCATGAAGAGTACCTGGACGTGGGGGACTAGATGAAATCCCTCAAATGGCATCTACCTGCACGGCATCTAGTCCAGGGTTCTGACTCTGGCCTCCGAGCCCATGTGTGGCCTGGCTCTTGCCATCTCCCAGGCCCATCCCTCCCATGCACCTGCCAGCCTCTGGGGTCCCTTCATTTCCTATCCATGCTCTGCTCCTTCCTGACCCAGCAGCACCTTGGGTAGCAGGAGCCTTCACCCCTTTGCCAGGCAGAAGGCTTCTCTCCCTGCACTCTGCTGAATCAGCACTGCTCACCTTCCCTACTCTCTGGGCTATGGTTGGAAAACATGCTCCATCCCCTCCTAGTCACTCAACTCAGTTGGTACTTAAAGGATTATTTGCTTATAATGCTATTTTGCAGATTCCCCTGCACTTTCCATATCATCTGGCACATAGTAGGGATAATCCAAACATCCTGAATGGATGCCTGGACAGATTATGTGGATGGCTGGGTGGGTGGAAGGATGGATACAGTGGTGGGTAGACGGGACGGATGAGGAACAATGGTATTACGTGGCAGGGATCTCATAAGGATTGTCATTATACACGTAATATGTTAATATGCTTCAGTGCTCAAAGGGGAGATTTTTTTTAGCCTTTGACTTTCTCATGTGTAAATGGGTGGGGACAGGTGGGTACCATTCTAATTCTCTAGATTCTCTGGCTTTACAGAGTCCTCAGGATGCCACTGTTTTCAGAGCCCCAACACCTCCCAACAGCAGCCCACCCCCCAGAGCTAAGAAGGCACCCCCCTGATTTCTTTTGATCCCTAGAGATGCAAGAGAAGCTGAGAGAAGGCCTGGCATGGGGGCCTCTGCAGCGGAAGAGAAAGGGGAGGATCCTAGGTTGGTGGGGTTCTAGCCCTACTTCCTCACTCTGGGCCAACGACCTCCATCCTTAGTTACCACAAAGGGACAGCAGACAACCCTGTCTTCACCCAGCCACGGTTCCCCTGCCCCTGAGCTCACCAGACTGCTCTGCATCCCACACTCCCTGTCCCTCCTTCTCCTCGGGTGGAGAAGGGCTGCCTGTGCTCCCGTTCCTGGGTCTCATCTCCTCCCTCCTCCCCCATCCTCCCCCCCTCCACTCACCCAGCTGGCTCCATCACATCAGCATTCACACAAAAACAAATCACTCCATCATTACAAAAATCTTTTTCGAGGAACCATGCTCTGTCCTCACCCCATTCCCATCCCACTTCTGGCAGAGCTTGGCCACACTCCCCATCCCACCTTCTCCTCCTGCTTGCTCCCAGCCAGGCCCCTCTGGGCTCCACCCAGCTCCTGCATAAAACCAGTCCCGCTGGAGGCACAGGTGGCCACCCAGCACTCCACGCAGTCTGGCACCACCCACCATCCCACCCCCCGCACAGAATTCCTTTCAGGGTTTCACGTGGTCTTTCCTATCCTGCAGGACCAGTCAGTACCAAGATCTTACTATGAGCCACAGTGAGGTCTCCTAATAGCCCATCAAGGGAAAGCGCTGAAGTCCTCAACTGAGATTCCAATCTGCCACCTATTTGCTGGGTGCCCTGGGAAAAATGATGGATCTGAGCCTCAGTTTCCTCACCTATAAAATGGGACTACTGACCACATGGTGCTCTCACAAGGGTGACATGGGGGAGCGTGTGTTAACAAAGGGCTCATGCACTAGGAGTACCAAGCAAATGCCCCTCAACATGTTGGGGCTTCCGGCCAGGGAGCCAGCTCTCTTCTCCCACCCTGCCAGGTTCAATCTGTTCAGAACAGACTTTAGAAAAAATAAATCTGGTCTCTTTGCTGAAGCCAACTAGGTGTCTAGGAACGGTTTTCCTGGAAATACACCGTGCAAAAAAAAAAAAAAAAGCTTAGGTGTGTACCTTTCTTGTCCAGGTCTATTTTGATAGGAGTATGGATTATCCAGTTATCTTTGAATAGCACCCTTAAAATCTGTGCATTTCACACTATGTAAAATGTCACTTAAAATCATTAGTAAATACTGAATTAAAAATCATTCAGTAAATACTGAATTATAATTAATGAAGTGTAACAATGTTTGCAACTTACAGTTGACCCTCAAACAACATGGATTTGAACTGTGCAGTTCTACTCCATGCAGGTTTTTATAAATACAGTACACTACCTTAATAAATGATTTTCCTTAAAGTTTTCTTTTTTTTTTTATTTTTTTTTTAATTTTTATTTTATTTATTTATTTATTTATGATAGTCAGAGAGAGAGAGAGGCAGAGACATAGGCAGAGGGAGAAGCAGGCTCCATGCACCGAGAGCCTGACGTGGGATTCGATCCCGGGTCTCCAGGATCGCGCCCTGGGCCAAAGGCAGGGGCTAAACCGCTGCGCCACCCAGGGATCCCTCCTTAAAGTTTTCTTAATAGTATTTTCTTTTCCTTAGCTTACTGTGATACAGTGTATTATATATGTAGCATACAAAGTATAGGTTAACTGTTGACGTTACCTGCATGGTTTCCAATCAACAGCAGCCTGTTAGGAGTTAACTTTGAACTCCACAGAAACTTAAATGTAGGGGCACCCAGCTGGCTCAGTCAGAAGAGCATGCAACTCAGTCTCCAGCTTGTGAGTTCAAGCCTCATGCTGGGCATAGAGATTACTTAAAAATAAACTTGTAAAAAAAGTTAAATATGGGGGCACCTGAGTGGCTTGGTGGTTGAGCTTCACACATGCTTCACACGTATTCTCCATTTAATCCTGTAAGGTTATTAGCCCCATGTTATGGGAGGAAACAGGCTGGGAGGGGGGAGAGTGGTGGGCAAGAACCTTGCTCACACAGCTAGGCCATGACAGCCCTGGCCTTAAGACCCAGCTCTGTCTGGTTCTAAAGCTCTGCATGCAGTATTGCCTCCAGCACCTGATTTGATTTACAGAGCTTAGACACCAAATAAACTTTCTTTTTAGGGCTGAGAACAACAGCCTTTACCTCGGGAGTGGGTCTTGGCCTCTCAGGCAGCGTTTGAATGGAGAATGCGGTTTTCTGGAGAAATTGAAGGGCCAGGTTCCCCCCCACCCAAACATTTCATGATGGGGGGGAACAATGTCAGGCCTCCAGAAAAAAATGGAATCACACCGTGAACATTCATAATTCATGGAAAATTTTACATTTGTCAACATTGTTATGTTGACTTGATCCTCTTATACCTCTTCGTTTTGCCCCCCTCGATCCTATTTTTTTCATGCATTTCAAAGTACAGTTGACTCTTGAATGGCACAGGGTGTAGGGGTTGTGATGATCCCCTGGCACAGTTGAAAATCCACACTTAACTTTTTTTTTTTTTAATATTTTATTTGTTCATGGGAGACACAAAGAGAGGCAGAGACATAGGCAGAGGGAGAAACAGGCTTCCTGTGGGGAGCCTGATGCGGGACTTGATCCCGGTACCCTGGGATCATGACCTGAGCTAAAGGCAGATGCTCAACCAATGAGCCACCCAGGCGCCCCGTGAAGCATTTTCAACATATCCTGAGAATGCTGCGGCTCAGAGTGCAGCCCAGGATCCAGACCGCCTGGGTCTGAACCCCAGATCTGCCCTGTCCTAGCTGTGTGACTCTGGCCAAGCTACCCAACCTCCCTGTGCCAAGCTGCCTTGTTTGTACAGTAGTATTAGCAGCCTTGTCATTGTGAGGATTGAAGGAGTTAATTCGGCCTAAAGGGCTTACGCGGTACCTGGCACATAGTAGGTGTTAAATAGTTTTGTTCATGGTAGGAATGTTAGGGTTTAGCACACGGCAAATGCACAATAAATGGGAGCCATGATGCACCAGGCTCTCGGCCACCTAGTAAGTCACAGGCCTCTCAAACCTCGCCAGTGTGAGGGACTGGAAGCCTGATGTGGAAAAAACTGAAGAACAATAATGGCCTCGGGACGCAGCCCAGGGAATGAGCAAAGTCATCAATTAGGGGCTCTTTATCTGCTATTGAAAAGGCTCCAATGTGTTCTGTCCACATCAAAGCCAGTCACGGTCATGGAATCTGTGCATGACTCTCCCTTAGGCTAGGACAACATGGTTCTGCACACACTAACCACCACTTCCTAAAAGCTAACAAATGTTTGTCCCTCCTCACTGGACTGTAAACAAGGCCAACAGCCACAATTACTAGATTCCCACTCACCGGGCTCTTAGCAGGATTTCAGAGCCATGGAAGGAGCCGCAGGTGACTACCATCAGTACCTTCATCAGGCCAAAGAGGGGACAAGCTCTTCATGGGGCTGCCACAAGCTCTCTCTGCACCTTGGTGCCCATCAGAAAAAGGCACCCTCTCCTCCCTCTGGGCAGAGGCACTGCTATCCAGAGTGCAGAGCAAGGCCTGGCTTTTAGGCACTACTTTTCCTACAGGTCATGACTGTACAGTGCCCAACCTGCCCAACCGTACATGGATGCCTGGTTCCTGGGCGATGAAAAGGAGGTCTAGCCCAATAGTGTTTAATAGGGTCTCCAGGCTTCAGAGGGTATGGAGAATGTTCTCTGCCTTGTGAACAGAGTTTTCTAGCAAGGGCTTTGGAGTCTGAGACCTGAAACCAAGTTACTCTCATAGACGTGCAACCATGGCCAGTTCCCAACCCCAGAGTCTTCTTCTCCCACCTGGAAAACAGGAATGATGTTGCCCGATCAGAGGCTGTGGGTTTTACATCATTCAATGAGCTAAGGCTTGGCATGTGACCAATGCATGGTAGGTGGTCAGTATATTCTGAAATTGGGGTAATCCTTGAAGGGTTTCCTTTGGACTGTGCACGGCACCCTTGTAAGCACCGCCCACCCTTCATGATGCCTGGGTCAGGGGAAATGGCTCTCAGCTAGAAATTTTACAAGTGGTGTGACCTCAGGCAAGGCCCTGAACCGTTCGGAGCATCAGTTTCCCTCTCTGTAAAGTGGACATAACTATTCCCACCTCCTGGGAAAGCAGAGGGGATTCAGTGAGAAAGTTTAAGGAAGAACTCCACACGGACTCTGGCACCAAGACCGTCCTCGAGAGACCCTCAGCACTGCCACCACCACAGACTGGTGGCCCCAAGAACGGAACAGGAGCCAAGCAGAAAGCACTGGGAGGGGAACAGAAGCGAAAAGTGTGAGATGGAGAAAAAGAAGGTTTTATAAATAAATGGACAGAACTCTAGAATTGAAAGGGCTCTTGGAGGGACGCCTAAGTGGCTCAGTGGCTAAGCATCTGCCTTGGGCTGAGGGCGTGATCCCGGGGACCTGGGATCGAGTCCCACATCGGGCTCCCTGCATGGAGCCTGCTTCTCCCTCTATGTCTTTGCCTCTCTGTGTCTCATGAATAAAATCTTAAAAAAAGGGAGGGGGCTCTTGGAGGTCAGCACTCTACAGCTTCATATTGCAGATGGAGAAACCGAGGCCCAGAAGAGGAAGGGGCTTGCCCAGGATCCTGCTGCAGCTCCGTGCTGGTTCCCTCAGTGTCCCCCACTCCCAGCCCAGGTGACTTCATACTCAATCTCACTGCCTCCATTACAGGAGAATCACCACCAAGGTGGGGCCCCCTAGGAGGAACAGAGAGGAGGGTCTCCAGAGCCCCACACCCCTTGCCTGGTGGCCCTGGCTCTGTGGCCCCTTGGGATCGCTGAGCTGGCCAAGTTTCCCAACCCTGCCCTTGTGTCCCGTGTGCAGTATGGAAGCAGCTGGCCAGGGGCACCTCTGGGAGGGAAGCCACCGGGGGTCTGCTGGAGGAGCCCAGGCCTACCTTGGACCTGGGTCTGGTACACGATGAAGTAACGGGGAGTCCCGCAGCTCTCAAACTCCTCTGCGCTGCACTTCTGGGCACAGAGCTGCTCATCCTCCCGCTCGTGGAGGGGGAACCGCGTGGTGGGGAAGCCGCAGTGGCAGGCGGTGCCCGCCAGGGCTGCCAGCGGGTACTCCTGGAGGGGGGGCAGAGAGAAACAGCCGCTGGCCCCCTCCCCCCCGCCTCGCCCAGGGCTGCCCAGACTCCCCGGGGAGAGCAGGGCTGGACTTCCAAACGTCCAGCTCCACCACCCTCCCCGACCTGACACTCCTCAAACTTCGCTTTTCCGAGTTTGGCCCCACTTGCGGACCTCGGACCTCGTACCCTCTCACCCTCTCGTTTCTTTCCTGCGTAATTAAGGTGTAATTGACAAAAAGTGGCCCTTCGTACATTTCGCGCCGCTACATTTCGGCCGCAGAGGCAAGTAGCACAGAAAGAAAACAATGTAATTACTTTCTCAGGAGGCGCTGCGCCTGCCAAGACTCAGAGCCCCAGTGGGCTCTAGCTTTTCCTGCAGAGGGGAGATTAGTGGAGGGTTGAGAGGTGTCACAGACACCTGAGCACACAGAAGTGGAGAAGGAGCTTTCCCCCGGAGGACTGGAAAGAAAACGGAGAAGAAAATGCTTTTCTCACTGTCCCGCGCCCTGGCACTGGAAACCCCCAGGCCTCAGAGCGACACGAAGCCGTACTTTGGGAAAAGCTGTCTGAGCCGGTTCCTTCAAGCCAAGGAGGCTGCGGGTCCCCAGGTGTAGCTACGATCTTTGATCTTCGTGGGGACAGCTGCCCCCGGTTGCCTTAACTGTTCTGCGGAGCAGCTAAGCCGGAGCCAGGGGGGACTCGGGTTCAGGGGTGCAGGGGGCTGTCCTTTGTCCCATTCACCTCTGCTCCGGAATCCTCCCTGAGAGGAATACTCTAGTAATAAAGCAAAATCACGCGTCTGTGGCCAATCCAGCGAACTTTCCACAATAGGTTTGGTTTCTTCCTAACATGCATTAAATAGGAACTTCACCTCTTAGCCGAAGAGCAGAGACAGAAAGGGAGGGAGGGAGGAGAGATGCCGGTACGCAGGTGGGTCTGCGTGGGCCCTGACTGATGGCATTTCTAACAGGTGATACATATCGAGCCTCCGCTGAGCTCCTGAGTCTCTTACACCCTCCACCCCGAGGCACAGGCAGCGCTACACCCCGCCCACATATTCCCTTCAATTTTTCTCCTGTGACCCCCTAAGGAGAGGAGAGAAAACTGGAAGGAGGCTTGCAGAGGGGCCTTCCTGTCCACCCACACATCCTTGTTTCTCTCCGGTCCTGCATACAGTCTGCCCCTTTGTTACGCTGCTTTGCCCGTGACCTGGTCATCTCACATGTTTGTGTGCCACCTGCAGCTGACCTGCAGCTTCCGGCGCCCTCAGGGACTGAGGAGTGTCCACCTAGAGGAGACACCATGGGGGAGGGGCACTCCTGCCCAAGAGAGAAAGCTGGTCAAACCTCCTCATCTTACAAATGTCACCCTTGACCTTCCAGGATGCCCCTTCGGAGCAGAGCAAGCACTCAGGAGATGCTCGGTGACTTGAGGTTGCCTGGCTGCCCATGAATGGCTCTGGAATCTTCTCTGGGGCGGCTCAGAAATTCAGAGCACAGATGTGGAGTCAGGCCCAGGTGTCAGCCCTATTCTCTTGTACCGTGAGCAAATGACTTCACCTGTCTGGGTCTTGGTTTTGTCATCTGGGAGATGAGGGTGAAATTCCTCAACCCCAAGCCTCCGTGTGAGAGGTAAACTGAGGCCCGTGGTGCAGAGGGCTGCATGGAGGACCTGCGAGGTGCTCCATAGATCAGAAGGCTCACTGAGGGTTGAGTCAAGCAGGACAATTCAGAGCGGGCAGGGCATTCGGGAGTTGGGGTGCAGGGTTGAGCACCCAGCAGGAGCCACAAGCAGGCCCTTAGCAAATGCCAGCATCTTTGAGGAGAGACACCACATCTGTGGATTCTGCATTCCCAGCACTGAGCACAGAGGCCTGGCACAAAGAAGCTTCTCGGCAGCTATCAGCCAAGCAAATGAATAAAATGGGCAACCACCTTTGTGTGGTGGGGAAGCGGTGGTTCTTTGGCCCCTCATGTAAAGAGTTCACCTTAAAAGAAGGATGGAGGGGTGCCTGGGTGGCTCAGTGGTGAGTGTCTGCCTTCGGCTCAGGCGTGATCCTGGGGTCCTGGGATCAAGTCCCACAACAGGTTGCCTGCAGGGAGCCTGCTTCTCCCTCTGCCTATGTCTGTGCCTCTCTTGGTGTGTCTCTCACGAATAAACAAATACAATCTTTAAAAAAAAAAAAAAAGGATGGAGCTCCTCCGACATCACTGAGTGCCAATGATATACCTAGTCTTGCTCTGGGTATTGAGAAGGCACCAATGTTCAAGGCACAGTCCCTATTATTGTGGCATTCACTGCCTGGTTAGGGAGGAAGGATCTCAGGATCTCAGGCTGAGAAAGAACCCACAGGTCATCTAGTCCAACTTCAATCCAACGCCCAAAGTTCTGGATGCCATGCCTACCCTGACTCTACTTGCACGTCTCCAGTGATGGGGAGCTCACTCTGTCACAAAGTGGGGCTGCCCTTGCCTTTCCCTGACAATCTGCAACTCATGCTTATGGGCCCATTTAAGAACATCACTCTCATTCCTGAGCATTCCTGATGATTAGAACAAACCCACCTCCTCAAGAAATCGACCCCATGTCACTTCTACCCCTTAGATGTACATGAAACCATCATGTCCCTCTCCCGTGTCACAGATCACAAAAGTGACCCCCTCCTTCTCCAGGCTGGGCCACTGCCTCTCCAGCCAAGACCCGTTCCTGCAGTTGCTCCACACTGCCCCTCCTCAGAGTCCTGTGAACAGGACCCTGCGCTCACCTTCTCGGTGCAGAGGTCCACGCACTTGTCCACGGACATGTTCGGCATGGCAGCTGTCACGGGCAGGGCCAAGGAGAGGTTGTCGGGCCTGCGGAAGCAGCCTCGGAACACGGCACTTCCATCTGCAGGGACAGAGGAAAAAGCAGTGGTCAGATCTCGGCCGGAGAGCCACCTTCTGGAGAAAGCACTTTCAAATTAAAGCCCAGAGAAGGCAAGAGTCTTGCCCAAGATCACAGAGTGAACCAAAGTGGAAACTAATCAGCTAAATAATTCAGAGTGTCCTCCTGAACCCCGGGATCACTGTCAACAGCCCAGGTCACAGAGACGTTCTTCTGGGGCCACATCATTCCCCATTCTTTGTCAGGAGCCTGCTCCTCTCAGGCCAGGGGGCATTTTCACAAAAAGGGACAGGTGAGAACCGCGGCTGCTAACGTCACAGCAGGTAAATGGGGTTGGGGTGGGAGCCTGTGGCACCCACCATGGGTGTACACAAAGATTTAGGAATAAGGATGTTCGCCATAGCATTTATTTAAAGTAACACATGAAAGTCTGGGAACAGCCTAGGAGTCCAACGATAAAGCACTAGACAAAGTACACAACGACAAGACAACGGGCTTCTGTGCCCCCAGCAATCGTAAGTGGTATTCAGGGTTACTTTAGACAGATGAACATGTGTTCAAGAGGTTAAATATAAACTGAGACGACGAAACTCCACATATGATAAAATAGCAGTTTTATATAAAAATTCTCTCTCAGTATTCATCTCTAGAAGGACCTGTACTGACACGTCGATACCCACTGTCATCTCTGAAGAGCAAGCATAATGGCCATCATACGTCAACGTGCCTAGGCTACGGCGCCCGCTGTTTGGTCAAACATATCTCTAGGTGTGGCTGTGAAGGTATTTTGTAGATGTGACGACGATTTATTAAGTAGTGGACTTTAGGGAGACTTACGGGAGATGACCCTCGGGGACGTGGGTGGGCCTGATCCAATCAGTTGAAGGCCTCCAGAGCAACACGTGAGGTTTCCCAGAGAAGGCCGCATTCTGCCTCAAGGCTGCAGCATTAACTGCTATCTGAGTTCCCAGCCTGCTGGTCTGCCCTACAAATTTCAGGCCTGCCAGCTTCCACAACTCCATGAGCCAATTCCTTAAATAAATCCCCTAACATATATATATATATATCTCCTACAAATTCTGTTTCTCTGGAGAACGCTGACTAATGGAGCAGCATTCTAGGCAATTTTTCTTTCCATCTTTTTAAAACCTTTCCTAGCTTTTTCTACAGTGAATATATATTTTTAATACAGTTAAAACAAATGTAAAAAAAATCTTAGGGGCACCTGGGTGGCTCAGTCAGTTGAGTGTTGGACTCTTGATTTCCACGCAGGTCGTGATCTCAGGGTCGTGAGAGCAAACCTGGCACGGGGCTCCGCACGCAGGACGGAGTCCGCTTGGGCTTCTCTCTATCCCTTCCCCTCTAGCCCTCCCCCTCCGCACACATGCTGCTTGCTCTCTCTTGCTCTCTCTCTCTGAAATAAATAAATCTTTAAAAAAATTTTTTTTAAATGCCCCTGTCAAACTTATCAAAAGGCTCATGATGCCCATTTAAAATTGAGGTCAGCTGTTCTCAAATTTGAGTTGCATGAACCTTTCCAGAACACAGCTGTCACGGAAAACCAAGGACACCGTTCATATGGTGCAGATCAAAACCCGGAGCACAGAAATAGGTGTCATTTACTGAGAGCCCACCACGTGTGATCTACTCTGCTGGGAACTTTACTAACATCATCTCATTGCACCTTCTGGAAAGCTCTCCAAGGTCTGGAGTAAACTCTCGCTCTGCAGCTGAGAGTAGCGGGACTTAGGTTAAGTGCCCATCACTGGCAAAATGTTACTGTGGATCATCTCTGAAACAGAATGTCAGCCCTTGGCAAAAAGGGAAGCAAGTCGCAAAAACCATATACCTCCATCTAGGTCTGTCTCCATGTCTGTCTGGAGTGTCAAACCACCCTGGTGGCATAGCCACATATGTTGATGCTTATGTGCAGGGGAGAAGACACAGAACTGCTCCCCGAGTGGGAGGGTGGTGGAGGAGAGCGAGGGAGGGTGGGTGGGACGGAGTTGGGGAGCGATCGCTCTAAATGTCAGCTGTCACCCTAGTGATTATTTCTACCACCTGGCACCCAGTAGCCCAGAGTCGTTCCTGGCGGAGGCAATCCAGCAAACTGAGAAGACATCTGGAATCTGGGTAAACAGCTCATTTCCAGAGCACGCCGCAGGCTTGCACCATCCCATCCTGTCTTCCCTGCTTTCCTCGGCCACTGCTCCAGGCTGGTGAGGGAGTTGGCGGTGGCTGTAGTAGCTGGGGGTGCTCAGGGTGCTGCAGACCCACTCTGTGGTCCTCCAGGCCACAGACCACACAAATTCTCTCCCGTAAAGGATGGCACTCCACCCCCCGAGTGAGGAACTGTCACACCCCAAACGCCACTCGAGTCCCAACCCGTGACCCAGAATCCTCAGAGGGAAGCCCCACGAACTGATCAGTCACCCCGAGGAAGATGCAATGATGCTCAGAGGATGTGCCATCCACAGTGAGGCCAGGGAGGGGAGTCAGGCATTTGACCTAAAGACTCAGCAACGAGGTGGGAGGCCCAAAGCAGGTGTGCAGACCCCCACTTAACCAGAAAACTGTTAGCTGGCAGCCCGCTCAGGTCTGCCTTGCTTCCAGAAAGAAGGGAGCTCGCCTTCCCTCTTCAACTCTTGCTACCGGTGATTGAGCCCCTGCCAATGCCAGGCTCCATGCTGGGTGCCTGGCCATCCCCTTCCTCTTCACAGCAGCCACCAGCCATCACAGTAGATGGCTCCTCCCATTCTACAGACAGAGAGTCAAAGACTTAAGGGGTCTCTCTGCCTTCCAGTGCCACGAAGCAGTCCAATGACAGTGAGATGACACCACGTTGCTCTGTCTCCCAAGTCCATGCTTTTTCCAGGTCCATTAGAATGATGCTGTTATGAATTAGGTGCTTAGAGGGGTATCGGGGTATGGCTGGTATCACTGTGGCTCCCGCATCCCAGTCACGTGCTATCTGCCAGGAACGAGGCTGAGCCGCTCCCACACGTGGCCTTGTGGAACAGGCGCATCACCTTGGTGGTAGGAGCAGCCGCGTTTTTACGGATACAGACACAAGGTTCAGAGGGCTGAAACCACCTGACCAAGTCAGCCAGCGCAGAGACGGAGAGCTGAGTCTGCAATCTAAGTGAGACACCTCCTCCCCTCTGGATGGTATGATCGGCTGCTCTCTGGATGCCGGCCACTGTGTAAACACCTGACATACCTTACCCCCTGTTCCCTACCAGGAAGGCCTCACTCTTCCCATTATACAGATGGGGACACTGAGGCTCAGAGGGAGAGCGTGACTCGCCCAAGGCCACCCAGCTGACAAGTAGCAGCTTCTGGATTCAGATCCAGGAATGTCTGAGCTCAGAGGTCTCACGCTTTCTGGGCCGTGCCTCTTTAAGAAGCCACCATGGGGCCTCATATTAACATTTTCAAAAAACACTGTGACACTCATTTTGCCTCTCCTGCCCTTCGCACTCACTCTACTTTGACCTCTTGTCATTCACAAAGTCAAGGCTGTCACTCTAGGATATCTCGACGCTAGAGTCAGATTTTCTTTAAGTACCAAAGAACGCCCAGATCTTGACCCTGAGTTTCCAAAACCATATTCAAATTGTTAACCTTCCTCTTTCCAAGCAGGATCCTAGACAAAAGATCATCCTATAATCCCCCTGGGTCATGGCTGAGGCTGGGAGGGCTGCTATGGGAAATGATCTGGGGGCTGAGGTCCCTTTGGGACTGGGGCAGGCCTGGGGATACTGGAGAGATCTGAAGCCCACCACCTCTTCCCCTCCAGGTGCTTCCTTCCTGAATGCCTCTACCCCTCCCTTGAGACCATGAACAGGAAGACAGAGTTGTTAGATGGGGTCAAGGGTGTCAGGGCACCTGTGGGGTGAGTGGCACCTGTCTGAACATCAGTGGGGCAAGAGAAGGTTAGCCATGGGCCTAGTTGCAGTGAAGGTGTGTCTGAGAGGTGGAACAGGTGTGCATAATGCGTGTGACAAGGAGACAGTGTGTGTGTATGTGTGACTGTGGCAATGTGAGTGCAGATCTTCCTGTTCGGGCATTTGGATGCTCAGTGCCGAGGCTGCGAACATGGGCACTGCGGGCACGTGGGTCTGTGTTTGTGGGAATGTAGGGCCGTGTGTGTGCAGGCTGTCTCTTGACAGTGGGCACCTGTATGTGACCATGTGGCTGTGCGTGGGACCTCTACCATGGGGCGGAGAAATAACCCTATGTGATCTCTCTGGGTTGCCTGGCAACCACATAGCTGAGAGGAAGGCTCCCTCTCTCCTAGCAGAGGGCCCAGCTGAGCCTCAGCCAACCTCCCACCAGACAGGCTCAGTGCCACCAGGGGTTGGACATTTCTCAAAAATCCCCAGAACAGTCAGCACCTAGGTTCCAGCAGAGATGTTTGTGCCCCCAGTGGAAGGCCACTGCTTGCACCATGCAAGAGAGAGGAATAGGAGGGGGCCGGTCCCTCTACTGGAGCCAAGCCCAGACTAGTCTCTCTCTAGGATGCTGAGAGCAGAGGGACCCGCAAGCCTGGAGCTCACAGAGAGGGGGCACTGCTGGTTATCTGTCTGGGGTCCTGTGTATCACTGGACCTGACATGCCAGTCTCTGGACAGCAGTGTGTGTTTGCCCGTGGACATGTGAGAGCTGGAGTCCACCCAAGGTGGTCTTTGGGGTCACCACTGCTAGGAGTCACCCCTGCATCCTCTTGCAAACATGACCTTGAGTAATTGAGGTTGCCAGGGCATCACTCAGGGTCCTTGAGCCTGCACAGCATCTGGACCTAGCTGGCCGAATGCCCTGCCCTCCACCACCTCCGGCCTGGTGCCTGTGTCTGGGGCTCCAACTGCTAATGAGTCCACATCATCAGCATGCATCTACAGGTGGCCTTGAGGGGCTTGGCCCTGACCCAGGGGCTCCAGAATAGGTTGTCCAGGCTAGCACCACAGTCGAAAGCCACAGTACTTCCCTGGGAGTGAAAGGTTC